ACAGTGAAAGCCTGAAGAAATCCTGTTTCTCTTCTTGAATTTCACATGCACAAACTTACTAATGTACATATGTTCACATAGGCACTTGCTTACATACATATATACATGTGTATGTAGGATACGTACCTACTTACACATTAAATATATTTTAAAAGTGTTTATGCTAGTTGCAGATTGTACTTGAGTGAGGTGGTACGTTGAGAGCAGATTTCTCCAAAAATTTATTTTATCGCTTTTAGGCACATTCTTTTACATTAATTTTCTATACAACGACCAAGTAACAGCGTTATTATTCTTATTATTATCGACAGCCTACTCATATTCAGTGTATGATTTCCAATTAGGCTTAAATAAAAAAATATGTCGAGAACAAAATTTGCTACAACAAAAAATTAAAATTTACATTGAGAGAAAATAAATATTATCTAACGTTGTAACCTAGTGGTTAGCACTCCTAGGGAAGTCCTGGCATCAGATCTCATCGCGAATATCGGTTGTTGACAGGATTTCTTTAGTAACTCCCAGTCCCTCCAGGCAAATGCCATACATCGATCTGCAATTTCTTCCTTCGACCCTCTGCACAATTCCTTTCTTGCTGATCATCCAATCATTTGACCCCATGTAATCTGAGCTATAGACTAACTAACTCCACGGAGGAATGGGGGAGAGTCCTTGTTGAGAAGCTCGGCTAGTCAGGAAATTCTAGGCCTTTTGTGGAATCGGAAGGCTCACAAGTTCTCGCCACTGGTCGGTCCGTAAGCTATCCTGAGCTTGATGAATCCATTCCAGGTCCTCTAACCAAGATTCTATTTAATATTCTTCTATCTACGCCTACATCTTCCCATTGGTTTCTTCATCTGATCCTCCTTGATTTTATTATCTTAATAATATCTGACGAAATGTAGAAATTACAGAACTCTTCATCATACAATTTCCTCCACCCTCCCGTCTCTTATCCCTGTCAGGTCCAATTATTTTCTTAAATATCTTGTTCTCTGACGTCTACATCTGTTTTCTTGACCAAGTTTTACATCTAAGAAAAACAGATAAAATAAAAAATTTTCTTAAATATCTTGTTCTCTGACGCCTACATCTGTATTCTTGACCAAGTTTTACATTTAAGAAAAACATATAAAATAAAAGTAATGTATATTTTAATTTTTAAGCTTCGAGATGGCAAACGATAAGACAAAAGACTCTCTGAACTGCTCAGTAGCAAGCATTTACCGAATATTTTCTGATATTAATTTCTTCGTGGAAGTAATTTTGATTTCTTACCGTCGTTTCCAAATAGCCCATTTGAACTTTTCGATATTTTCAAATTATTTATTAATTACGTTTATAGACTTGTAATGAGTTTGTTCTGTAGTCTGGTCACGAGACAAGAACGTATACGTAGTTCACTTCTAGACCGACTTCCTCACTAGCATCTAATAACCTGCTCGAAATAAATCATAAATAAGAATCTTGTGCAGAGAATTCCTTGATTTTGATATTATGGTTTCAATTCTGAATGTGATACACTTTCCTACCCACACATACAGAATTTTCTAAATTATTTGCCATAAACGATCGGAGAGCTTCATGACGTCATTGTAAGTCAGCAAGGTGCGACCATCACAGATACGGAAATTCTTCAGTACACAAAGGATAATATGCTGCAATTCTGGTTTAGTTACTGTGGTGCACAGAACGTATTTATACCCCCAGTTTTTCCATGTTAGCCTTCATAAACGAGAACAGAACGTCAATGTTAACACAGTTCTAAGATAGATTCTGGAGTGTCTCAGTCGATTCTGAAGTGATATCACAATATGTTATATGCCGAATATACGTAATGTGAGCAACAGCTACACCCAGACCACGTACAATGACTTCAGGTAGGCACTCCTACCAGTTGACACATGGCAATGGCTGCTTCATCAGTGTACTGGAGATCTCAGCATCCTAACACCCACCTTAGTAACATGTCTGCAGCTTCACAAAGGATGACACTATGAATTTCCATAGTCGGCAATATGTGGGCTGAGTGCAATCGACGTACAAGACATAGATACAACATCGGTTTTCCATTAAAGTGTAAGCCAGATTTCATAGGTGATCATTTCATTTACCCTTGTAGCTTACCAGCAAAACTAATTGGTTCCCATTACCAGCTATTTCTCCACTCCGCAGATTTAACCCCAGTTATTGGAGGATATTTCGTTGGGCATGTGACAACGGATATAATTTCTGTGTTGGTACCCCAGCACTTCGCAGTCTGACTGTACAAGAGTAGTTAGCTGTATGTTATCCCGGACGCTGGAACAATTGTGGCCCCGAAGCTCCTGTGCCGTGGCCACCACAGTCACCGGAACTCAATTCGGTAAACTTATACTTGTGAGGTTCTGTGAAACATCCTGTTCAGGCTAACATTTTTTAAACCAGAGAGCGACTTTAAAAACACATACATTATACAGCTAATGAGATTTGAACCATCCGTTCTAACCTCTTTTCGATGTTGTGTTAACGCATGTATTTGCGAAGAAGATTTCAATTATTTATTGCAACAATCGGGGTCCGCGGTGGCCGCGCGGTCTGAGGGTTGGCCTTCTGCCGCTTGGTCACTGGGACCGTGGGTTCGAATCCCACTCAAGCCATGGATGTTTGTCCGCGTTTTTCTGTGTTGTGCTGTCCTGTGTACCGGTAGGGGCCTTGCGACGGGCCGATCCCTCGTCCAAGGAGTCCTACCGAATGTCTATAGATCAAGTCAACGAAAAAGTTGGAACCCGCAGTGCTCAGGCACTTGAAGAACGGGTCGTTCCCAGTATCCCAGTATTGCAACAATCAGATCCTCCCTCAGTCAAGCATTTTACATTTTACAGATGTTTGAACATGTTCCCTCGAATTCTGTAACGTTTTATAGAATCATTTCCGGACTTTTTTCATTCTATCTTTTTGGCCCGTATTGACTCCCTAAAGCTCCCATATAATTCGAGATACATTATTTTGAAACACACTGTACATATCTTTGCGTGGGAACCGCTGAGAGGGAGAGTGAAGGAGCAAACTGTAGGTCTGTCGCAGGTGGAAGAGGGCGAATGGTTGCTGGGCCTTGCCAGATTGACAGCCTCCCTCTACCTGGTCTGCTGGTCACCCTATTATACATTGCTATCAAATTTAATGACAGGGGTAGAGAGTGAAAATATAACAAGGGTGCAATCACGAGGGGATATAGGGGAAGGGTCTCAGTGGGGAAGCCAAGAGTCTCCTTATATATTCCTTTTTCAGCAAAGTTCCACGATCTTCCACGGTCTACAGAGTGTTTCAAAAGTATTTTCAATTTTCTATATAACTCCACGGAACTGAGAGTCGTTCTTGAGAAGCTGATAATCGCTTTGACAGTCATGGTATTTTTATGGAGATGAGTTTTGTGACCCAATCCGATGCCCAACCTGCAGGCCAACCCTTGTTGGATCTCCTACTACTCTGAGAAACGTGTCACCTTCACTTTTAGGATAAAAGTGAATAAACTGACTATTAGTATCTGTACATTTGATATATCGACAGTTAATCCATGTTAAATGTTAAGCAAATACATTAAATTAAATGTGCATAGAAGTGGGTCACTAAATTATATGATTCATAATTTACAATTCTTGCTAAATTTTATTTAGACTAAATTTTAGCATTTCAGGACAAAAAAAGTTATTTCCAAAATGCATTTTCTATATCTTTGCAGCCCACTGCCTTACTGCACAGCTCAAATAGACGTTATGCATCATGAGGTTATGTAATTGTGAATTGGATAGAACTTGAAAGGTAACGATATGGGTCTTCTAGGACTACCAGATTTTCCAATAAAACCTAAAAAAACACAATACACTCACAGGATTTGATCCGAGTAAAGAAAATTGCAATTCTGACTTCCGAACGGTAGGCCTACTCAATACGAATAATATTTATAAGAATATTCATGATTTTCCTCACTCCCTTCATTCGAAAGCCAAAAATTATGCCCTCATATAAACCATAATGTAACCTTATCCAGTCCTTCCAGTTGACCACTCACGATATGTTTACATATTTCGTTAGACTCCTCAATCTCAGAAACAAACAATTGACGGATGTTTCGTGTTAGTCATCGCTTTGCGAGTGGAAGACTGGATTGAACTCTTTACCTGTGCGGATGGAAATAATGATAAGTTTGTGTTGTTTCTTGGGTTACCTGTTACGTCGTCTGGACCATTTGGCACACATGGGCGAAATAACAAGCGAACAGAAATTCTGGTGAAAATACGTAAAGATATGTGACCAACTGAGAATTGTATGCGTAGCTGGAAAATGATTTTAGTAGTAAAGTGAATCTTGCATTAATATGTTTCGATGATACATTCTGGATTAAATTTACTGATGACGAACTTTGTGATCAAGGTGATGGGCGTTTGGATTTCGCAAAAGCAGCTAACAACTTGATCGGCTGAATGAATATACACATTTCAATGATTATCTACTGAATGGAGTTAGTACTGACTGCTGATGTAGCGTCAAATGAAATATATAGAAAATCTGTGAATAATGATTGGAGAGGATTCGGAAGGAAGCGTTCTTGCCGTGTTATGCTGTACCAATCTTCACTGTTTATCTGCTGTATGCTGAGAATAATCGAGAAGGTTAAACACACGTTTCGGGCGTTGAGCCACGGACGATAATAGTTGATTACAGATGATCATGACCTTAGTGTTGTGGATTGTACGACTTGATTAAAGTGGATTAATTAAAAAAATTCAGGCTAGGTAAATTTGGCGTGAAAAGATTATTGGACTTAGAAGAATGCTGAAGAAGTGGACCGTGTACTTTTGGAAAAAAATGCTGAAGTTACAAATTGAATTCCTATAGCTTGGGACACTTGGCCAACAATCTTTTGTGTTTGTAGTGGCGTTGTTAACGATTCCTTTTATTTACATTCACTTTTGAAATATATTTCCTGTGATAAATTATATTATTTTGTTTTGTTTTAGACTGGCTGTGTAGATTTATCGATGTAACCACTGCTGCTTTTGTGATTGAAGAGGCCCAATTACGAATCTGGTTTAACAACAGTGAACTTCTCAGTAACTTGCTAAGTAGCCTAATATATTTTTTAAAATAAACTACGTCGTCATAGAAACAGCTACAACTTCTGTGAGAGCTTATCAAAAGTTATGGACACGCAAAACTAAAGCAGATTTCTTCGTCCTACGTTTTGGCGTGTTCAATTAAAAGGGTTTTTAATCCCTGGTAGAGCATATAAATTTAGTATGAAACACGTTTTGAATATTAACAATTAAGACTTTAAGGCTATAGGTTTAGCTTGTATGATAAATTTAATATAGCTGTAGTCATTGTTAGTGGAAAATATAGAGAGAAATTAATCATGTTATGGTAAAAGATAAAATTATTAGTATATATTACTTACCAGCATTTTTTTTAACATTTGAAGGAATATGTTCTCTCGCGAACTTTCGAAATTTCTAACTACTTTCGTATGAATAAAGGTATTGTACAAACTTAAGATTAAATTATGACTCTGGACTTGTTTTCGTGTAGGTGGTAATTGAAAATCGAAGGTACTTTCATTTTCTTGACAATAATTCCTCCTCTAGTATCATAACAACTGACGAGTGGACTTACCGTTTTGTACAATCCATAAGCTAAGGCAAGGTTGATGTGGTACCTGAAAACAATTCCCTGAAAGCATGCAGGTGGCATTGAAGTAAAACTCCACGCAATCTAGACCTCATCAGTGGAAGCGAGTAGCCAGCCATCTACGCGTTCCTTTAGCATTACAGTAAAAAAAGAGAGTCACGGTAGTCGAACACATTGCTTTTGCATAGGAAGCAAGGTTCCCAGAGCCGGTCCGGACGTCATGGTGTTGGAAGAGTTCATGCCCCTGCCAGGAGTCGAATCCAGTCAACCACCCAACCAAGGTTGCCGTTTATACCGGCTCCGAACGTAATGCACAACACGAAAGATTTTGTGAAATTTTATTTCTCAGAATAGCAAGTGTTACGACGACAGCTTTCTTGTATATGCACATTTTATGACTAATGGTAAATTTCGTTAAGTTTTAAATGTGTAATACCTTTTAACATATGTGAATATTAGGGCAAAACAGGTTATAATATCGTGTATGTATCATTTAACCTCTATCGCGTTTGGCTGATATAAACACAAGTATTGTCATGGAGTGCTTGCAAAGTGCAAAGTAAACCAGGTATTTCTGAACATCTGGGCACTTCACTATACTACACGTGTTTGAAAGGTAATGCCATAAAAAGGTATGCACTTTCAACCAATTATGGAGTTACGATAATATCACCCTGGTATTAAATAATATTTTTAACAATGCTGGACATCAAAATTAGTAACCATTTTTAATTTTGGGGCTGTTAAAATAGCAGTGGGTTTTCGAGGACTGTCACTTGTCTGTTTCACAATGTTTATGCAAATAAAGGTCTAGATATTGACTTGTAACCAGTACGTTTAATTACAGGAATATGAATAAATATGAACAATTCCTTCCATCTACTCACACGTCCTTACAATTTCACCAGCGATTTACCTCACGCATTAAGATAATATGTTTCAACTGTACATAGTCAGTCATTTTCAATCTATGACTTGACAGAGTCAACTGGTATTATGATTATAGATTGTATCTTAAAGATAGAACACACGTGTGTCAGAAGGCATACTTTGTAAAATTATGGTACTGTATACGACGTTATAATTTTACCGATAAAGTTAACAAATAAAACAGATAACAATAATTTATATACGGAGTTGAAATGAAACATAAAATATGTATTTTGTTTTATGCAGTTTCAAAAATAAATTTGAATGGTTAGTTGGCTATGCAGCAACAATAATTTCTTGTATTTGGAGTCTTGTGTCATAATAACTAGTAGTTTACTGCGTTTTCGTAGCAGTCACCAAACAGATTGTTTTAAGGTTACAGCAAAATCTGCTGTTGCAACACGAACAGCTGAGCTCAGGTGAGTGAAGACAACTCAGAACTCGCGCTGTTAACGGGTGTAAAGTTCTGTGGCCTTGAAGCATGCGGTCTTGTGACGGCACCCAAAGTTTATCTTTGTGTGTGAACAGTAGGGGACATACCTAGGTGGCTGCAAGCAGCATGGCCAAGGCATGCATGCGGTTTGTGTCCGACTTCATTCATACGGAAATGTACATCCTTGCCTACATATACTACAGAATATTTCAGGCAGTCGCCGGGAGGTAATTTTCAGGTGAGTACGGCGTGGCTTGATAACCTGTTGGAAGTACAGTTTGATCACATTTTAAAACAAACTAACCATTGGTAATGTAATATTGCAAGTGTTGTGTGTAGACGAAAATAAACTATTCATATTCGTACCTGAAACCACAGCATGATGCTTACCTACAAAAAACATGTGAGTATGTTTATTTTAAACATTAAATTTAAGCAAATCTAAATGTTTTTGATGTTGGTGTATTGTTATAAATATGACTATTTTTCGATCATTTTCCAACGTCGTAATTTTTCCTAAACCCGAAGCTTCGGAAGCTGACTTTTGTCTGTCTACAGAAAGCACTATCTAAACGGGTGCATCTAAGTAGGAAATTTCCTCCCCTGGTACCTGGTGACGGAGAGAACCTGTTTTCTTGACGACAGATTTGGGGAAAACTTAACGATGGAAGATGGATAATTCCCCCAAATAATATTTGTTTCATAACATTTCAGGTCTTTATCTAGTCTTAATTAGAATGAATGCTATCAACCATATTAAGATTTCGAAAAGTAGGGTCTAATAGTTATACGCTAGACCATATTAAAGAATTGAATTAATATTCTCAGAAATTTTCCGTTAGTGTGTAACAGAAACAAAATTCCGTGCAAATCATGTCAAAATTCAACACGAACTATCTACTCACTGAAGAAAAACGAAGTACCTCTTATTTGAAGAACAGTATTTTTTCTCTCCTATAATACTATCTTCCGGGTTGTAGTGCCGTGAGAAAACAAATCGTACTTAATGAGGAATGTAGTTCTACAATATATCGCGAAAAAAGAATTTGTGGATATACTAAATTAATTTTGTATGCTTGTCATCAACTTTGTAACGATATAACTTGTTTGTATATAAAATAATAGTCTACACAATTAGTAAATAAGCGAATATGAAAATCGATTACATGTAAAAGTGCCAAGAACGTATTCGGGGGACACGTGTGTTCAATGTTGGATGAAACATTTTCTATCCTGTCAGTGCAGTTAGACCGTTGTTTGTGCTGAGTGGTAAGTATATCTTGATTCATGTGACCTTACAAAATATGCAGTCTATCTAATCTGTCGGGGATACAGGTAGTCTAGAAAGTCGTAATTTAAAACTGAGGCAATTAATAATGTCTAGAAAGTATCCTATGATATGACACTATTGTTACAAAATTCTAGTACTTACATCTTTGTTAAAATGGAAATAAGTTTTTACTAGTTAGGCTACCGCCCGATTTGTTATGTTCTGTTGTTCTGTCTTATATTTCTTAGTGTAAGGGTAATAGTGGAATATTTTCGGTTTATGATTGGCAGAACTGTTGAAGCCTGGTCATACTGTAGCTCAAGGTCAGACAGCAACATGCTGCAGGTGTGGTTCAATCGTAGTTCATTTGTGCCGATTGAGTGGAGTTGTGGTTTGCAACAATATTCTGCCATTAATTGTTGTCCCATTTGGCCTTGTGTACTGCTGATTTGCGACGAATCAGATTTGTCAGTTTATAGTTTCTTAGGCAGCTTCGAATTGTATCGATCCGGGATTAGAGCCCGGTGACAAACTGAGGGGGTTGTCATGTACTTTTATGGCTCCTCCAGATGTTTTCACATCTTTAATTTCTTTATTCAAACAAATTTATAATTCCTATTCACTCAAACATTACTTTAGTACTGAATTATGGAATAACTAAAAATTTTATTCTTGCCATATTTGATTTTTACGTGTTTACCCTTAGACTCTGACATGACTGTGACTTTGTCTGGGGTTGATAGATTGCGTGAAGTTTCAACTCCTCGCTCCCTATAGAATTTCAAACTTAACGAGTTGAACACCAAGTAGTCTAAGAACACAATTTTTTTTAGATTGTTTGATGCACCCTGAATATTTGCCTGCTGTCATAGCAGTGTAAATTGTTATGAAAATCCACCTTTACTGATACGCTGCCTCTGTACGCCTGGCTTAGAGGCAACCAATCTGACACGCGAGCCCATTTATAATGCCTAAACAATGTGCCATAGGAGCTGCTGCAGTAAATGTTACATTATTTTACAGTCATAAAGCGTCTTTTGTCGTCTACCCAGCGTCGGAATCCAGATGTCCACAACCGGAAAAATTTGCCACCGTGAGAACTGATCAACAAGGGGATTTAAATTTTTGTGATTGCATATCAACAAGTGGACCATAAATTTTTGTAGATGATTCTGATAATAGCTCGAATTTGAAGTGTAGTAATATGTGATTTTTGATCATTTAAGTTACGAATTTGTAATTAATTTTCTATACAAAATGATTTGTTTTGTATAAAAATGTTATAAAAAATTAACATTATGGGGAACTTTGAGCCACATGCGATGACACTAATAGTTATTTCAGCATCTATTTATGATCACGTATAACTGTCTACAAATAATTAATTCCTGTAACATAACATAACTGCGTATGTTGCACTTTTTAAAACATTTCACTACGGATTCGAAATTTTCCCTTCGAAATGAAGTTTTGTCAGGTGCATGTTTCGCCCTTCTGGCCTGCCGACCTTGGGAATGTGAGCACTTACACCAATCAGAACGCCTGTCCTTTCCATGTGACCAATCAGATACCGTTTTACTGCACAGTCTGTCCAGGGTCAACAAATCTTCGCAGCTTTGGTAAAACAGCCGACTTCGAGCAGCCATATTGAAGCAGCCTATCACTGTTGTGCAGCTATTATAAATTACATAAAAATCTCGAGTGTCAAAGAGTGTCTAAATAAATTGACTGTTTATTTATTATCTACGTAATATAAGTATTTATGTGAATCGATGTGTGAGTGGAACATTTCTTGAATTCCATAAACTTGGTGTGTTTTGGTGCCGTTGATTAACAGGACCTTGAAAACTAATGGATTGCACGATTGAAGGGAATGTGTAGAGGAACTGATTCAGAATGCCGGCAACTTGTTCAGGTAAAAGATAACCATCATATCTATAGTCGGAATTGATTGTTACGTACTGGCAGCTTTTTTTGTGTAACTTGAACGATGTTGATCAATACTAGTCAGATTTGTTTACTAATGTTAGGTTACATTTGTACATATTACTCCTCATATTTTGTAGCTTATAAGGCTGTTTTATGAAACTTACTTCAATGGGGACCCAAATCTTTGTGTTACCTGAATATAGTACATGTTATTTAACACATTACCAACTTCATGTGGTTACAGAACTTTTAAATATGAGTTTAAAATACCATGATTCTAAACACATGGTGTTACAATATAGGAGCATAAGAAAATTTTTGATAAATTCGTGGTGTCTGTTTATGGGAGCCCATATTTAAAGTACGTGTTCAATGATATTAATTGCTGCATTCTATATTTATTGTCTTTGCATTAAGTAATATAATCTGTTTGTCTCTCAGTTGTTTATAATGGCAATTTAAGGTTAGTTTATAGTTTAGTTTCTTGACAGGACTGTAATGTGTTGTCATAGATTTGTTTTCCCACTTGTGATAATTGTTATGGTTTAAATAATTTGTCTGTATGAACTTTAATTTTTGTAGTGTATATTGTCATGGTGATATACTGTGTGCATCATATTTATATGTGATTCATGTTAAATAGTGTTTGTTTCAAGATAAATTGGAATCCAGTTAGATTAAACTGGATCATATATAAATGAGAATAGTAATAAGAGATCTGTCAAAGGACACAGGTTTTTCTAACCTCAACCATATCCACAAAATGCACTTTGGTTTCATCTTGAGTATACACAGTCAAACCAAATCTGAATATAAAGGATTGTGAATGTGTTATGTGCTTATCTATGGAAGTTGGTAGCCTGCTTTTGATTGGCTGTTGTTCATATGTGCAAGGGGAAGACTCGTTATTTTTACGTCAGTACTTTGCATTAGAGTTGTAAAGGGCTGGACATATAAATTATGTTAAATTTAGAATGGATTGTGGTTTCATGTAAATAGTTTAATGTTACATTACTTAGACTACACAGGCTGAACCTGAAGTTGTGCTTTTATTCCAATTTGTTTACATTTCACACGGTACTATTAATTGTAATCAAGTGTGTGCTATTGGCAAATATTAAACACTGTGGACAGGCACGTAGTACGTTGTTTCTGCCAGTTACTGTCAAGTTATTGTTTTCATTTATGTTGGATTAATTTATAAACAAGTTTTAGAACTCACCTGGAAGACTTTTAGGTTGGTGGAGGCAAACAAATTTTTAGACCACTTTGAAGGTTTCACGTGGACTATTTTAACTCCTTGTAGTTCGTGACGAATGAAATTTGGAATTCTTGCATTTAATTTAGGAATTAATTAAATGAGTTTTGTCAGCTTTTGTAGGTATATACACTATGGTCCAAATTTATCATATGTTTTGAACACCTAATATAAACTTGCTTTGATTTTTGAATTAGTTCAAAGAGAAAATGTTTTTGAGCAGGTAAAGATTTATTTGCAGTGTGTTGTAATACAAATCTCTAGCACTGAGATATCAGATATCTCAATTCTGGATTGTAATAATTTATTCTAGTGTGACTTTGCGAACATTTCTGTTCACGTAAGTGAGCTTCTTATCTTTTAGCCAGATTTATTAAAACCTGGCTTATATTATTCTGTTACAATGTGATCCAGTAGCTGGTATGAAAGCTAAATGCGGCAGAAACATACTTATTGGAATTTTTTTGTCGGTGGTGACGGTACAGTTTGGTTCATTAGTTTAGAACTTTTTTCTGGGGAATAATGTTTGGTTATGACAGTCCAATTCTAAAATAGACAAGTTGTGAGACATTTATTTTGTTGTGGCTGAATGAACGTGCCTGATAATAGGTGGGGTCGAATCGTTCAAGTATGCAGGGTGCCACAAATGTGAGGCAGAACGCTCTGATATATTACACTCCAACTAGAGAATTTGTTGTTATTGTAGAGGCATCTGGAAGTCAGTTGAAAATTGTTTTTGCATGGAATGAATTCAAATGAATGTTGTTAATAGAAGTGTCTGTAACGAGGTTTGTGGTTATTTGGGAGTTGTGAATAGCAGTTTCTTGTTTAGATATTTTTAATGTTGGCAGCATGGAACTCACTTCATGCAAAGGTCTACTATATATGTAAATTTACATGAATTTGACAATAATAATTGCTTAATAAGAAGATGTCTGTCTTGTGGGTTGTAGCTCCATGTAGTCTGGTAGAAGTTTACCAACGTTTCAGAGGTCCTTGCTGCCTCCTTCATCTTATGGACAGCCATTTTTTTTACTCATCACCATGAGAATCTCATATCTAAGTAATTGTTTAATAATTAATTATATAGGAGCATATGGTTATTTGGTTACATGAACCATGTTGTGGTCTTATAATATGGCTTAATTTTCATTAACAAATTTGAGTTTGGAGTGTTGCATGTTTATGTTAATCAGACACTAAGATCAAGTTGGATATAATCCAAAAATATTTATCCTGTTTACTAAATTCAATTGAAGTTTCTGTTGAAAGCATGATTCAATTAGTTGTCACACTTCTTGAGTTTAAAATGGCTATTTTGATAATATACAAAGCAGTGAAATTGTTCATGTGTTGATACAGACTACCATTTATGGCAAGTTTGTATGCAGAGGCTGAGATACCATAGTCCATGTTTAACCATAAGTTGGTTATGAAATGAAAAAAAGGTGTACATTCTTTGATACATGCAGTTAATTACAGTAAAACAATTGCAGAAGCAAGCGAGAATGTGATTTTCCTGACAAGATTTCTCATGGTTTCTCACCATTGCAATAAGTTGGTCTTCACTGTCACTCATTTCACAACAGAAACTCTTGGGACGTAATGTGTAGAAAGAAGCCAAACATTAAATGAGACACTTCTTCTATTGTCATTAAAATACTTTTGATGTTTTATGAAGACTGCACAATAAACTTTAATTACAAGCTATAAAATAAATTGAACTGGATATGCAAATTTTAAGTCTGCTGGCATTTAAGCAAGAAAGAACTGACAAGCCTGTGTTGTGCAATATTTTGACACTTTCACTCCAGTCAGTAGCCTTCAGACTCAAGATAAATGCTTGAATCATTAATATAAAAATCACTGCTAATTGAATAAGAAAACTTTACTATTTTTATATGTTAGCGTGCTTAGTGTCAGTTACATTATTATGTGCTTTTAATGCACACATTTCTTCTTTTGGTATACCTTAAATAAGTCATTATCATCAATAGCTTTACAGATTAGGCCATTGGGCATGTTCCATCTCCTCGGGTCCTTCCGACGTTTTTTCAGTTGTCCGACGTTCGTCTTCCTGATGGTTTGTAGAGCAGTATTCTGTGTGGAGGCATTTTGGTCACGTGTTCATACCAATTTTTTCTGTTTGCACTGATAATACTGGCAATGCTCTCTTTATTAAACTTTTTACTAATGTCTTTGTTACATTTGTGTTCAAGGAGTGTGTGTCCTGAAAGTGGTCTTATTAGTCGCATTTCTGCTTCGTGTAATCTCTTCAGCTGAGATGCAGTAAGCGTCCATGCCTTAGACCTTAAATAAGTGTAGATTACACTTGGACGAATGTTATACCTTCTATAAATGCCATATTTAATGAAACAGAAAAATTATTTTCTTTAATTTTCCTAAAGTAATTTAATGTGAATTAGGCATGCCTTTATTTGGTAGGTAATGTGCCTAATTAGATGCCATATTATAAACTTTGTAATTAATTTTGTTCAGATGTTTTATGCTGCTGTGTTCTTGTACTGTGTATGAGATGCCGGTGGATGAGTGTGTGAATTATGGTAGTTAATGTGAAAAGAAGCTGTAATGATTTATTTTTGGATACTAGTGACATTTGCCTTTGCGGCTCGGAGAACCTCAACAAATTTCAGATCAGTGTCCAACCCAGTATCTCTGGAATGTGGGTCATATGTGTCAGCCTCTTTTATTTATATACCTTCTCGTATTCACATGTTGTTCTTTATTACATTAACTAGTAAGAGACCAGATTGATATATGTGTAAAGCCTGAGGCTATATTTTCATCAGTAATTTGAATGTCCCTTTCAATTACGATTCAATTTGTATGTGTAGAGTAAAACGTCGTTGATATGATTTGTTAATGGTGCTAGACCTACCTCGTTCTGCTTGGTTTTAAGATACCAAATTTTGGAATTGAATATATTCCTGTTAGTAATGGACAGCATAGGACAGGACATCGTTGCCCCATTGTCGTGAAAATCGCGTATGTAGTGCAAGTAACTAACGATGTCTGTGCGCACAGACGAGGCAGGTGCGTCAGCTGTTTTTCATTCCACCGGGGGAGGAAGTCTGGTGGATTTAAATACCATGCCATAATATTATTAGCAGTTCAATTGTGCTGTCCCCCTATAAGCCGGTATGCTGTTGCGTGATGGATAGAAGCGACATTGTGCGGCAAGAACACGGACTCCGTCTTGGTCAGCGACTTCCTGGGAACTGGCGCCCTCTGATGTCCATTCCTGACACTTTGTAGTAGTCTGCGAACCGGTCTCTTCTGCGCCAAGCTGGTCGTGTTGTCAGAATGCGTGAGTAAAGCGGTAGGCACTCCTTCGCCAGCGGGAAGTTACGTCATCACCAGTGTGTTTTCTCCTGCCACTTGGTTTGGCTTTCTCAAGAAGACGAGGAGGAGGAGATGGAACACTTTGCAGTGAACCGTCTTCCTACCATCATGTCTGCAACATCAGCTTTCATCTGTTGCCGCTACCTCCCCTCCCTGACATTGACTCGGGTTATGTAATGAGCCTAGCAGAACTAACAAAGGAATACCACACACATACCTCGCTGAAAGACGTGGAGAGCGAAACGGGAACTTGACTTTTCCTTTGACATTGGTAATATTATGTACCAACTCCTAGTAATTCTTTTTCATTTATTGTGTCTTGTTCTTAGCTGTTTCGATGTGGTTATCGGGCAAGCATATTAAGG